GTTTCCTAATGTGTAATAAAAACATTACTTTATTGTAAAAAAATTTGTTTGGCTCATATAAAAAAGAAACAAACAAATCATAACTAATTAAATTGTTGTTAATAAATGGCAATATGAAAAAGGTAAAGGTAAAAGGTAAGGGTATTATTTCAGGCAGTTTATATACATTTCAACCTATTTTACATCATTCTGAATTATATCAAAACTGTTGAGAGCTAATAAAAAACAGTTGAGGTGCAGTTTGAATATGTTGGGAAACAATTAAAACAATCGACCATTTGATTTTGAGTGTTTTTTCTAAGTTTTTTAAACCAGTGGCATCCTCTAGTGTTTCATGTTGGTTTTCATTCGAATTATTTATTCAAACAAAATAAATTGTTTGTCAATGTTGTAAAATAACAAAAGTATATATACAATCAGCAGATTCCCCAAGTGTTCGTAATTTCATAGCCAGTCCAACGCCAGACACGGGCTGTTACTGTTTTATTGTCAGTGATAAATTATCGTCAGCTGTTATTATCCTTACAGTAAGTGTCACCCTTGTACGTTTTAACAGTAGAATACACAGAAAAATACAATAATGCGTAAAAACCATAAAGTTACAACAACAATAGGTTTGTTGTCTAGTTTGTTTGGTTTCCCAGATTATGCAGTTTCAAAAATGTTAACAGTTATATTGATTTATAAATTAAAAAAGTCTTGTGTCCATGGATTTAAAAGAGTACACGTTTATATAAATAAATAATAGTGTGTCTTACACATAAACATATTTTTATTGAAACCCTCAGACAATTTCTCTGTTTTAATTCTACATTCTAAGAATTCCAAGGGCTGGATACGGTGTGTTAAGCATAGGGGTGTTTTATTTATTTATTTATTTTTTTCCAACGGCAAATACCAATACTTATAGGAAGCATGATCCCAAGTAGAAAAAATCGTTTTAATGCTAATATTTTGTAGAAGTTGAAAATATTCCAAGCATTTGATAAAGCTAAGTGTTACACAATAAACATGTGGTAGATATTAACTGGTGCAAATTATAAATACGTGAGTCAGTGGAAAATTTCCATGAGATAAATGTGTATGGAATTTAATAGTATATTTTATCAATAGGGCCTGAAGGGATTCTTTTAAATTTTTAAGATCGAGGCAAAGCCGAGGTCAGAAAATGAGCGAGAGTTTGATAACTTTTAAGCCCGTTTGATGAACTATAATTTATTATCTGAACAAACTGGGTTACAAAACCCAATAGTACACCCTTGTACTGTGTCGCTCGCCCCTTGCTTTGTACGATATATTCTCCATGAAAGTGTATGTGGGCAGGCATGCAAGGTTAAAAGAGGCCAACAACCTCTTAAAAAAATTATAAAACAATAATGTAAGTTTTCAATTAGTAATGATATAAATTTCGCCACCTTGTTGACTAAGGCTGTTTTTAGGCAGAATCATTTATTAAAATATCAACAATCGAGTATAGATGGAATTCATTTCCAATGTATGACTTTTATGATATATTTGGTTCAAAAAATTAAAACATTAAGTAAAAATAAAATCTTTACCAAAATGCCGTACGAAACGGTATTTTGTTAACTATTCGAAAGCTAACCGAATACCAATAATATTTTGGAATTCTACCTAGGTAAAAAATGCTAAACAGTTTCCGTTTTGTTTTTGATTCATCGCAAACCTCCCGCTGCGCGTCAAAGTGCTTTTCCAACTACCAAAATTTACTGAATGTTTCATTCCTAACATTCTTTAAGTGTTCGGTGTTCAAATCAAAAATGTTTTTATTTTTAAGCAAAAAAAAACTATGGATACTGTATTTCAATTGAGGGTATGTGTATCGATATCTGTTTTTAAACTGTTGAAAAAAATTAAAATAAACTTAGGAGTTTAAGTTTAATTCAAATTTAAATTTACTATTTTTGAAAGCTTAACGTTTTAATTAAGATTTTATAGGAAACACAAAATCATAATTATGAAGATACAGGAATCTTAAACAAAGCCATATTTTATTTTACTTGTACGTAAGTTATTATTGTTCAATTTCAATGTCCAATGTCAAAATTTAAAACCATAAATCTGATTTCACAGGAACACGGCTAAAAATGCATTTTTAAACTGTATCTTTTTATTTACAACACCTATACAAACAACTAGTTGTCGACTGCATTAAATGACTAGCTTGTATTTATTAATTGTGTATATTCATAACGTACAGTAATCATTTCTCTTTCCCCTCATAATCCTTAGTGAAAACCACAAATTATTAAAAAAAATTTATTCCACAATAACGCAAACTGATAATAACAACTACAGATAACAGTTAAATAACTTTTTAATAAATTTTAAGATTTCCATCCTATTATGGATTTATTATAATTTCAACTTAAGATTGTCGTTAGTTCATAAATTCCTTGGACAGTAATTATGATGAAGTAGTAACCTAAAGGGATTTTAGAGACATTATTAGCTTACAGACAATTGTCGTAATCTTTGCCACAAAATAAGTTTAACAAGACAAAGCGGCTTAGGAAGTTAATCAAAAAAGACAACCAGATTTGTGCTTTTTCAGACTTACAATCTTTTGTAACCTAGTTAAAAAAATATTTATTGTGTAATTTATTACTTCATGGTCTTTACTTGAAAGTATTTACCTCTAATTGTTAAATTAATAAAAAATCTTTATAAAAGTAAAAAAAATTCTATAGTAACGGTTACCGAGATTCTGATGACGATAAGCCCTAGAGCTGAAATTCCTAACTGTTTCCTTAGTAGTCCCTAAGTATTTTCTCAATACAACTAAAATTGTCTAAGGAAATGAATGATATTTAATTGGACGTTCTTTTGACTAAGGTTTCTTTAGTTGACCTTTGAACCATAAACTCAAAACTCTAAGTATCTTAGGCAAACCAAAACTAATCCATTGTTATAATTTGTCACAAAATTTTATTTGTTCATCTTGGACTAAACGCTGGTACGGTTATAACTTTATTATTTTGAACTGCGTAATAAGATACATTTTTTCAGCCTTTTGCTTCGATTATAAAAAGGCATAGTGATACATAGATCTGTTAAGTCTTATTGATTAGGCAATTATATAAAAATATAGGAAAAAGAAATAGGAAAAATAGGAAAGGAAACGAAAATAGGAAAGAAATACACAAATCACAGATTGTCCTACAACAAATTGTTTATGAACAGGTGATGACCACCTCAGACTGTCTGAACTTTGAAGAACTGTTTGACTTAGGTGATGAAGACAAACGTTTTATGCTCAGAATGAAATCATCTCAATAAGGAGAGTAAAAAGAAAGTTTTAACAAAACATTTGGCCTATTTTTAACATATATCAATCGAAATCATAAGGCATGTTACCATACAAATGATTATCAGTTCTAAAAATTTATATATTTAAATATTATCTTTATACAAAAGAAAAAAAAAGATTTTTTTCAGTAAATAAATATTATCAAAATGCATTATAATAAGCAGTGTAATTAATCAAATAAACAACCCGCTCTAGGTTGGCCACATAGAGATAATAAAGTGAAGCTTGAAAAAAATTTATCCCTCTAAGCGGTTTAACTAACATCAAGCACCAATGAAAAGTATTCAAGTATTTATTTCTGCTTATTAACGATTGAATGTATACATCCATTCAGATGGACTATAAAATATAGCGTAAATAAATTAATTTACATAGTTGTATTAAGATTATGCTATCACTTAATGGTAGGATATTTAAGTTTCAAGATTTCTTAATGTTTAAAAGTGTAAAAACGAGTAATTCTAATTAGCTATTGTATACAACGAAAAACCCTTACAAAGTGGCATAAGTTTTTCTACGAAAGATTTCTTAAAAAATCTTCAAATGAAATTTATTCAAAAATGTCGTGCTAGATGATCATTTTTCAAAATACACTTCACATGAGTCTGCTACCCTACTAAAATAGTATTTAGAAGTGTTGAGGCGTGTTACATTGCTTTTTATTTTTATTGTAAACTTCTTATGTCTGGACATACCCTCTTATTGGTCTTAATCGGACATGCTAAATACTATTGATTTCTCATGTCAACTGCAATGAAATTATATTATGGAAGGCTTATCCTCTTACGGTTTTAGTGGCAACGGATAAGGTGCGGTTATCTATGTATAAAGTCAAACTAGTTAAGACTATACAGTGTGAGTTTTAAATGAGTTTCCCTCCATTTCTCTACATTTAAGATATCAACTCCGGACCACGTCAGATCATTGTAGAGTAGTAAGTACTTCATTTAGACTGAGTATACATCTTTGGCTGCCATCTTGGATCAACCATATTGGATGAAAAGTTGAAGTGTTAACTAGCTGTTTTGAGTTATATTCAGTTTAAATTGACGACTCGATTCCCGTACGCAGGACGGACAAACAGCTCGTATTGTTAAAACGTTTTTAGTTAATTAATTTATTGCTTACATTTTTGTCTATTGTTTATTTGTAAATGTTGCTTCCTTGTATTGTTATTAACTTTTCCATTGTAAAATGGTGGAACCGTTATTGGGTCTGATGATGATTGGAGTGTCCAATCGAAATCAATCACCACTTACCATATTTTATATGTATTTACCGTCTTGTGAGTCAACAGTATTGTTTGGCTTATTTTTCTTTCAAACATTTAATTGTTTTTGTCAAATATATTATTAAATTTGCAAACAAAATACTTTTACAATTTTTTTCGTGTGATAGTTTTTACTTGATTTAACTGATATTTTCATTCTTAACTGAACAATGTCCTAAGTGTTCTGTTTATTTTTATTCAATTTTTTCATATAGAAGACGTAAATTGCCCGGTTTAAAACCAGCGAAGCCTTCATAAAAGTTATGAATATTTCGCAACCCATTTCACCTCCCAATATTTAATATTTCAGTGGAATGTGGCATTATCTAGAAACTAGTAAACACCACATGTTTTGAACATTAATCGCCGTAATTAGAGTTATATAAAGGACAGTTGCTGCAAGTTCAGCTCACTATTGCCATTAGAGTGTTGATATTTGAGACTACAACATGGTGGTTCTGCTTCTCTTGTGCTTCACATCCCTACTGAGCTTCGCAGCTTCCGACACCTTCGGCTTGAATGATGAACTGGCAACCAGATACTTGGAGGAACAGTCTATAGATCTTTTGAAGGAAGAAATCGCCAAGATAATCACACCAGCGTCAGTCAAGGTAGATATTCACAAATACGAAACTAATAAACAAATCCTTTTTGATGTGAGAAACATACAACTTACGCATGACAAGACAGTTAAGATCAAAGATATCCAAGAAACAGGGGAATCAGTAAACGAAATAAAATACAACCTGAAGATGGATGCTGATGGTACAATAAATAAATTCAGCAGAGAAGGAAACACAGAAGAGAAAAACCATATGGAATTCGAAGCTAGCCAAGTCGTGTTCTCCGTCTACTCGTTGCCAGGGAGCTTTGGTGAATGTTCCGTCAAAGTTAAAGATGCGAAATTCACTTTTGGAAACCCCAATGGAGTCACAGAGGACGTGTGGAATACCTATAAGAGTCTGATGGGAGACAATTTGGAAGATAAAATTAAGAAGAGTATGCAGACTGCCCTTGGAGATAACACTAGCTGGATTTGTGGAAATATACCAACAAGGTTCACTGTCTAAGGCAAAGTATTGTAACCTTACATATACTAAAATTTGAGTAATGCATTAATGTTTACTGTGAAGTTGAAGTTACTAACATTAACAGCTTTAAAATGTGCTATGGAGGCGTTATTGGTTTATTCTTGGCGAGATTTGGATATTTGTTTCATAATGATATTTGGAATGCACAAAAAATCGATTTTTTCGATTAGCAAAGTAATTAAACATACGAAATGTGACATAAATTACTCAAGTAATAGAATAATGTAAGATTACTGTAAATAACCTATATTCGTTGTGTAGAGATCGAACTTTTATTCTATGTAGAACTGTGAAATCTTATACAGAAATGAATAAATTGGTTATATTGATATTCTTGGATTTACTGAACAATAACCTCAAAAGTGATTTAACCATAATCCTTTACTATAGGTTAAGTGGCGATCATATAGATATTACTTTAAAAGAATAATACAACTAGGTAATTTACCGTAATATTTTATGACAATTGACAAAACATGGCACTCTTTTGATTTATTTAACGTAGCATTATAAAAATAAGGGTTTCACCAGGTTTTCGGTAATTTAATGGGATATGAAATAAAAAAAGTGTATTTTGTATGCTCTGTAACTTAAAAACAAATTGGTTTCCATTAAAAATAAAATACCGTTAGATTGACTCCGTCTAAGTTGTATGAGTACGACACTAAGGTGTGCTGCTACAGAGAAGGTAATAAAGTGTGTTTTAATTTGAAAAGTTAATAGCTTAGTTTGAAATAAAGAAATTTACTGCAACTGTTGATATATTCTCCACAAAATTGACATGAGAATTTAAATGTACCGTTTTTAAACATTTCTTTCCTAAATGGATTGGATTTTTTAAAAAAAATTAGTAAGAAATGTACTGCAACTGTTGATATATTCTCCACAAAATTGACATGAGAATTTAAATGTACCGTTTTTAAACATTTCTTTCCTAAATGGATTGGATTTAAAAAAAAATTAGTAAGGTAGTAATTAATGTTGGATCGTCCACCCGTTGAATACTGTGTAAAGCGCGTGGATAAAACTGTAAAAAGTTTAACAATTGAACGCTTACTATTCCATGTGGTTCATAATGATTTTATTTTCAGTTTAATTTTGTCTTTAGTTTGAATTTCATATTCACAATCAAATTGTTTTTGTAAACTTAAAAGTCACTTTTCAATTGAAGACAGGGAAAGCTTCCACATAAACATACAATTTATTCATTTGATTTAACGGGCTAGAAAACATTTAATGATACCTTTTAATATACATGAATGGTGACTTTACGGCTTAAAGATGAAACCTGAGACGAGATCATTAGTAAAGGATCGCTCATTTAAAAACGGTTTAATGAATTACAGGTCTTTTTGTAAAATTTTTTCTCCACATTCAGACTTTCAATAAATATTCAAAAGCCAAATTTTCAGTTTGAAAAACATAATATATTTAGCAAAAGAAAATGTTTTTAATTAGAAAGAAAATTATTAGACCTTTGTGTTATAGTGGTGGTTGGTTAGAATATAGTTTGAATAAAAATTAGTTTAATTTATAGACATAATAATTAAGAATGAATTAATAACGCAGTAGTGTAACCTTTAAGTTCTCAGTTTGTTTTATATAGTTCGATGATAAAATTTACAATTTTTATAACACTGTAGCTGTCTAGGAAAACCTCTAGGCCTGTACTCATTAGGAAAGCCATTCGATTAGGATAATCATACCATTCAATATCCAGTTGATTTTATATTTACGATTACTGTCCTACTGTGATATTATTGTTTAGACTTACGCATACTTATTCTAACTGGGATTAGGTAAAATAAGTCATAATAGGCAATACAACACCCACAATTTTCTTAACCGAATACAAAACTAATATATACTTTATGGGTTTGGAGCGCTTTCACCTAAAAGTGTTTTAATTGACTTGACTATAAGAAAGAATGCCACTGGCGTAGGTACAAGAAAAAAAACAATATATTGGCTTCCTAATAAGTCTTAAAATAACAATAGAACAAATAGAAACCAAAATGTATTTACTTATTTATTTCCAACGGCAAATACCAATACTTATAGGAAACATGATCCCAAGTAGCAAAAATCGTTTTCAAATGGTTGGCCCTACGTTTCTGTCGATGGTTGGCCATCGGTATGTTTTAGCACTAAGTCTTACGGTTGGCTAACCAACCAATTTTCAACGATGGGCCAACCATTCCATTGGACCTAATCATAAAAAACACAAAATAATAAAGATTTAGTATGAAAAGCATAATTATCAGTTGAGTAACTAGTGTTGAGTGTTGATTTATATATTGTAACATTTCGTGTGAAAAGTTATTGCAACCTTTACTAACTAACTGGTTACTGTGAACCAATGCTAATATTTTGTAGAAGTTGATAATATTCCAAGCATTTGATAAAACTAAGTGGTTACACAACACACATGTGTTAGATATTAACTTTTGTAAATTGTAATTACGTGAGTCAGTGGAACATTTCCATGAGAAAAATGTCTATGAAAGGTAATAGTATATTTTATCACCAGGGCCTAAAGGGACTCTTTTAAATTTTTAAGATCGAGGCGAAGCCGAGGTCAGAAAATGAGCGAGAGTTTGATAACTTGTAAGCCCGTTTGAGGAACTATAATTTATTATCTGAACATACTAGGTTACAAAACCCAATAGGATAGTTCACCCTTGTACTGTGCCGCTCGTCCCTTGCTTTGTTTGATATATTCTCCACAAAAGCGTATGTGGGCGGGCATGCAAGTTAAAAGAGGCCAACAACCTCTTAAAAAATAATAAAAACAATAATGTAAGTTTTCAATTAGTAATGTTATAAATTTCGCCACCTTGTTGACTAAGGCTGTTTTTAGGCAGAATCATTTATTAAAATATCAACAATCGAGTATACAGGGTGATTGATATAAGTGTGCCAGCCGTTTTATTCGAAAACCATAAGAGATATCAAAAAAAGTTAAATGGTAAGTGCCTTGGATTTTTTATTTAAAAAATTGTAGTCAAGTCAAAAAAATTATTTTAGCCGCCATTTTTCCAATATGGCCGCCAACTTTGATTTTTCTTACGGAACATCCTGTATTTTATGATGTATTCTGGTAGAAAATGTGATTTTAAGACGATTTTATTCTTGTGATTGTTTTCATAAACCTAACCGTTTCAAAGATAATAATGGTTTAAGTTGTGAAATTTTGAATGGTTTTCGAATAAAACAGCTGGCATGCTTGCTTAGGCCTGTATCGAAACTCTTTCTCATGCAAAAATGTTAAAACTTTAACCATTATTATCTTTGAAACGGTTAGGTTTATGAAAAAAATCACAAGAATAAAATCGTCTTAAAATCACATTTTCTACCAGAATACATCATAAAATACAGGATGTTCCGTAAGAAAAATCAAAGTTGGCGGCCATATTGGAAAAATGGCGGCTAAAATAATTTTTTTGACTTGACTACAATTTTTTAAATAAAAAATCCAAGGCACTTACCATTTAACTTTTTTTGATATCTCTTATAGTTTGCGAATAAAACGGCTGGCACACTTATATCAATCACCCTGTAGATGGAATTTGTTTCCAATGTATGACTTTTATAATATATTTGGTTCAAAAAAATATAACATAAAGTAAAAATAAAATCTTTACCAAAATACCGTAGAAACGGTATTTTGTTAAAGGTAACTACTATATTCGAAAGATAACCAAATACCAATAATATTTGGGAATTCTACCTAGGTAAAAAATGCAAAACAGTTTCCGTTTTGTTTATGATTCATCACAAACCCCCCGCTGCGCGTCAGAGTGCTTTTCCAACTACCAAAATTTACTGGATGTTTCGTTCCTAACATTCTTTAAGTGGTCGAATGAAAAATGTTTTTATTTTTAAACAAAAAACTATAGATATTGAGATATGTGTATTGATATCTGTTTTAAAACTGTTGAAATAGTTAAAATAAACTTAGGGGTTTAAGTTTAATTCAAATTTGAAATTAATAATTTCGAAAGCTTAACGTTTTTATTTAAGATTTTATAGGAAACACAAAAATATAATTATGTAGGTACAGATCCAGAGATAGATTATTAAGATACAGAGATAATCTTAAACAAAGCCATATTTTATTTTACTTGTTCGTAGGTTATTATTGTTCAATTTCAATGTCCAATGTCAAAATTTAAAACCATAAATCTGATTTCACAGGAACACGGCTAAAAATGCATTTTTAAACTGTATCTTTTCATTTACAACACCTATACAAACAACTAGTTGTCGACCGCATTAAATGACTAGCTTGTATTTATTAATTGTGTATATTCATAACGTACAGTAAACATTTCTCTTTCCCCTCTTAATCCTTAGTGAAAACTACAAATTATTAAAAAAAAATATGCCACAATAACGCAACCGATAATAACAACTACAGATAACAGTTAAATAACTTTTTAATAAATTTTAAGATTTCCATCCTATTATGGATTTATTGTAATTTAAACTTAAGATTGTCGTTAGTTCTTAAATTCCTTGGACAGTAATTACGATGAAGTAGTAACCTAAAGGGGTTTTAGAGACATTATTAGCTTACAGACAATTGTCGTAATCTTTGCCACAAAATAAGTTTAACAAGACAAAGCGGCTTAGGAAGTTATTCAAAAAAGACAACCAGATTTGTGCTTATTCAGACTAACAATCTTTTGTAACCTAGTTAAAAAAAGATTTATTGTGTAATTTATTACTTCATGGTCTTAACTTGAAAGTATTTACCTCTGATTGTTAAATTGATGAAAAATCTTTATAAAAGTAAAAAAAATCTATAGTAACGGTTACCGAGATTCTGATGACGATAAGCCCTAGAGCTGAAATTCGTATGTTTCCTTAGCAGTTCCTAAGTATTTTCTCAATACAACTAAAATTGTCTAAGGAAATGAATGATATTTAATTGGACGTTCTTTTGACTAAGGTTTCTTTAGTTGACCTTTGAACCTTAAACTCTAAACTCAGTGCCAAAAGTAACTTAGGCAAACCAAAACTAATTCATTGTTATAATTTGTCACAAGCTTTTATTTGTTCATCTTGGACTAAACGCCGGTACGGTTATAACTTTATTATTTTGAACTGCGTAATAAGATGAATCTTTTCAGCCTATTGCTTCGATTTTAAAGGCATAGTGATACATAAATCTGTTAAGTCTTATTCATTAGGCAATTATATAAAAAAATAGGAAAAGGAAATAGGAAAAATAGGAAAGGGAAAGGAAATAGGAAAGAAATACACAAATCACAGATTGCCCAGTAACAGATTGTTTATGAACAGGTGATGGACCACCTCAGACTGTCTGAACTTTGAAGAACTGTTTGACTTAGGTGACGAAGACAAACGTTTTATGCTCAGAATGAAATGATCTCAATTAGGAGAGTAAAAAGAAGGTTTTAACAAAACATTTGGCCTATTTTTAACATATATCAATCGAAATCATAAGGCATGTTACCATACAAATGATTATCAGTTGTAAAAATTTATATATTTAAATATTATCTTTATACAAAAGAAAAAAAAAGATTTATTCAGTAAGTAAATATTATCAAAATGCATTATAATAAGCAGTGTAATCAAACAAATAAACAACCCGCTCTAGGTTGGCCACATAGAGATAATCAAGTGAAGCTTGAAAAAATGAGTATTCCTCTAAGTGGTTTAATTAACATCAAGCACCAATGAAAAGTATTCAAGTATTTATTTCTGCTTATTAACGTTTGAATGTATACATCCATTTAGATGGACTTGGTGCAGTATAAAATAAGTATAGCGGAAGTAATTTAATTTACATAGTTGTATTAGATTATGCTATCACTTGATGGTAGGATATTTAAGTTTCAAGATTTCTTAATGTTTAAAAGTGTAAAAACGAGTAATTCTAATTAGCTATTGTATACAACGAAAAACCCTTACAAAGTGGCAATAAGTTTTTCAACGAAATATTTTTCATAAAAAATCTTCAAATGAAATTTATTCAAAAATGTCGTAATAGATGATCATTTTTCAAAATACACTTTGTATGAGTCTGCTACCCAAGATACTAAAATAGTATTTAGAAGTGTTGAGGCGTGTTACATTGCTTTCATATTTATCGTAAACTTCTTATGTCTGGACATACCCTCTTATTGGTCTTAATCGGACATCTTAAATACTATTGATTTCTCATGTCAACTGCAATGAAATTACATTATGGAAGGGCAGAATCCTCTTACGGTTTTAGTGGCCACGGATAAGGTGCGGTCATCTATGTATAAAGTCAAACTAGTTAAGACTATACAGTGTGAGTTTTAAATGAGTTTCCCTCCTCCTTTTTTCTACATTTAAGATATCAACTCCGGACCACGTCAGACCATTGTAGAGTAGTAAGTACTTCATTTTGACTGAGTATACATTTTTTTGGCTGCCATCTCGGATCAACCATATAGGATAAAAAGTTCATTATTTTCAACATTAGCACTGTCAGAGTTCATCTTTATAAGTGTTAACTAGCTGTTTTAAGTTGTATTCAGTTTAAATTGACAACTCGATTCCCGTACGCAGGACGGACAAACAGCTCGTATTTTTAAAAAGGTTTTAGTTGTTCATTACTGTTGGATAATTTATTGGTTAAATTCTTGTCTATTGTTTATTTGTAAATTTTGCTGTCTTGAATTGTTGTTAACTTTTCCTTTGTAAAACGGCGGAACCGTTATCGGGTCGATCATTACTTACCACCTTTTATATGTATTTATTGTCTTGTGAGTCGACAGTATAAGTGTAAATATATTATTACAAGTGTTGTTTGACCTATTATTTGGCTTTCAAACATTTAATTGTTTTCGTCAAATATATTATAAGATAAATTTGCAAACAAAATACTTTATCAAATTATTTTGTGTGCAGTTAGTTTTTACTCGAATTAACTGATACTCTTTCTTAACTAAACAATGTCCTAACTGACCCGTTCATTTTCATTCGAGTTTTTCGTATAGAAAACGTACAACGTACAAACGTAGTTTAATACCAGCGTAACCTTCATAAAAGTTATGAATATTTCGCAACACATTTCACCTACTAATATTGAATTTTTCATTGGAATGTGGCGTTATCTAGAAGCTAGTAAACACCACATGTTTTGAACATTAATCACCGTAATTAGAGTTATATAGGACAGTTGCTGCAAGTTCAGCTCACTATTGCCATTACAGTGTTGATATTTGAGACTACAACATGGTACTGCTTCTCTTGTGCTTCACATCCCTACTGAGCTTCGCAGCTTCCGACACCTTCGGCTTGAATGATGCTCTGACGTCATCGTACATGGACCGAAAGGATGTGGATGTTTTGAAGGAGGAAATCGCCAAGAAAATCACACCAAGGATAGTCAAGTTAAATGTTTTCAATTTCGTACATTATAAACAAATCATTTTTAATATAAGGAACATACAACTTACGTATCTCAAGACAGTTAAGAACGAAAAACGCACAGCAACAGGGGAAGTAAACGAAATGACATACAACCTGAAGATGGATGCTGATGTTGAAATACCAAACGAAGAAGAGAAAAAGGATATGAAATTCGAAGCTAGCCAAGTCGTGTTCACCGTCAACTCAGCAGCGAGTGTTGGAGAATGCTTCGTAAAAGTGAAAGAAGCGAAATTCACTTTTGGAAATCCCACCGGAGTCACAGAGGAGGAGTGGAATACTTATAAGAGTCTGATGGGAACGAGTTTGGAAGATGACATCAAGAAGAGTATGGAGACTGCCCTTGGAGATAACAATAGCTGGATTTGTGGTAATATACCAACAAGGATCATTTTCCAAGTCAAAGTAACGCTAGTAACACAAGTAACAGCAAGTAAAGTAGTATTGTAACCTTACATTATACTAAAATTTGAGTAATGCATTAATATTTACTTGTTGAAGTTGAAGTTGAAGTTACTAACATTAACAGCTTTAAAATGTTCTTTGGATGCGTTATTGGCTTATTCTTGGCGAGATCAATTATTTGGAATGCACAAAAAATCGATTTCTTCTTATGATTAGCAAACTAATTAAACATACGAAATGTGACATAAATTACTCAAGTAATAGAATAATGTAAGATTACTGTAAATAACCTACATTCGTAGTGTAGAGATACATCTTTTATTCTATGTAGAACTGTGAAATCTTATACAGAAGTGAATAAATTGGTTATATTGATATTCTTGGATTTAATGAACAATAACCTCAAAAGTGATTGAACCATAATCCTGTACTATAGGATAAGTATATACAGATATCTATGGATATTACTTTATAAGAATGATACAACTAGGTATTTTACCGTAATATTTTATGACAATTGACAAAACATGGCACTCTTTTGATTTATTTAACGCTTCGCAGCTTCCGACAACTACGGCTTGAGTGATGATCTGACGTCATCGTACACGGATACTAAGTCCATTGATGTTTTGAAGGAGGAAATCGCCAAGAAAATCACACCAAGGATAGTCAAAGTAAATGTTTTTAATAAAAAAACTCGTGAAGAAATAATTTTTGAAATGAAAAACATACAACTTACGCACCAGGACACAGTTAAGACCAGTGAAGATTCAGGGGAATCAATAAACGAAATGACATACAACCTGAAGATGGATGCTGATGGTACAATACGAAAAAACGGTCAAGAAAACCCAGAACAGGAGAACACTATGAACTTCGAATCTTGCACAGTCGTGTTCACTGTCAACTCTGCAGCGAGTTTTGGAGAATGCTTCGTAAAAGTGAAAGAAGCGAAATTCACTTTTGTAAATCCCACCGGAGTCACAGAGGAGGTGTGGAATACTTATAAGAGTCTGATGGGAGACGATTTGGAAGATGAAATTAAGAAGAGTATGCAGACTGCCCTTGGAACTAAAAAAAATTGGATCTGTGGAAATTTACCAAGAACTTTTTAAGGCAAAGTATTGTAACCTTACATTATACTTAAATTTGAGTAATGCATTAATATTTACTTGTTGAAGTTGAAGTTGAAGTTACTAACATTAACAGCTTTAAAATGTGCTTTGGAGGCGTTATTGGCTTATTCTTGGCGAGATCAATTATTTGGAATGCACAAAAAATCTATTTTTTCTTATGATTAGCAAACTAATTAAACATACGAAATGTGACATAAATTACTCAAGTAATAGAATAATGTAAGATTACTGTAAATAACCTACTTTATTCTATGTAGAACTGTGAAATCTTATACAGAAATGAATAAATTGGTTATATTGATATTCTTGGATTTACTGAACAATAACCTCAAAAGTGATTGAACCATAATCCTGTACTATAGGATAAGTATATACAGATATCTATGGATATTACTTTATAAGAATGATACAACTAGGTAATTTACCGTAATATTTTATGACAATTGACAAAACATGGCACTCTTTTGATTTATTTAACGTGGCATTATAAAAATAAGGGTTTCACCAGGTTTTCGGTAATTTAATGGGATATGAAATAAATAAAGTGTTAATTTTGAATGCTCTGTAACTTAAGAACAAATTGGTTTTCATTAAAATAAATACTCCCGCTGCATTAAACCTGTTGACTGGGAGTTTTTATTCACTTGATTGATTAACAAGTTTTCTTAATATCGTTAGATTGACTCTGTATAAGTTGTATGAGTACGATACTTAGGTTTGCTGCTACAGAGAAGGTAATAAAGTGTGTTTTAATTTAAAAGTGGATAGCTTAGTTTGAAATAATGAAATTTACTGCAACTGTTGATCTGCATAAAATTGACATTAAAAATGAAAATTTACAATTTTAAAGAATTTTTTTCCTAAATGGATTGGATTTAAAATGGATTGGAAAAAATTCCAAAATTTTTTTTCTGGTCAAAAACAAGAAAGCCCTATTTTCACTCCATTAAACCCCATTTTTATAGTCTGATCATGCTGATTTTCGAACTCGTTAAAAAAACATAGGTTTACACTATTGTATCTGATTCAATCAAAATCTGAAGATTTTTACGTGCGTTATATATATCAACTCGAACGGATGGTGTTTTTAGCCTCTGTGGACATCGAAATGAAAAAGTAAAGCAGTCCTGGACTTAGGACCGTTCGTCTTGCCTACGGTAATAGCTTATTTTGTATATGGTAAATTCGCTAAAATGTTAGGTGTGTTTTTCACATCACATTAGAACGCTTTATCCCCGAAAACTGCAACGAACGCCTTTTAAACATAGCAACGTTGGAGTTTGCCGGGTGGCAAGCAATGATATAAATAGTTCTTTACATCCTTGGTAGCAAGCAAATAAGTTTTATTGGAGGTGAAACAAAACCATAAGCAGGGCCACCAATTTGACTAAGATGTCGCCGAGTTCCTAAATCAATAAATATTAAAGCGGCCTCTGCCAACATCCAGGGTGTCACCCCACCACCCATGGAGTTTAGGGGAGCTTCCCACAGTTCCTGGGCCCATGGGTTGACCTTGGCCTAGGAAGAAAGCCATAAAAGTTCCAGGAAGAAGAGAGGGGTCATCGGAGAGCGCTACTGAAAATTAGAACGTAAGAACAAATGGCACACAATGTCAAGTTGTGAAATTTGAATGGGATTTTTTTCGTCAATCGGGAATGGCGTAAAATTACTAGTCCCCTCTTGTTGAATGAACGAAGTGAATTCTCATACTGGTGTTAAATGCATCTCATCAATCTCCAATAACTCGAATATAACTTCGTATATCAAGTTGATGTTTTGCACAAAGGTTCTTTATCATATTATCTCGGTTAAGTTCGTTATTGGAGATTATTTGTTCAGTAATAATTATAAAATCCTTAAAAAACCATTTTAATTTTCCCCCATAAGAATAACATTATAAGCTACCTTCTTCTTCTTTTTTTTTGTTTACATTTTACGAGCAACAATTTTGTTGTGAATTCTAGAGACCGAAGTGAATTCTATTATTTCTTTCATCCATGGAGTAAACAGTTTTAACATCTGTAGGTATATTATATAAGTCAATGGTTTTATGCACAATAAATCTTTAAATTATAATTATAAAAAAAAAAAAAATTATATCAGAGGAAATAAATATGGGATATAAAAATATCCACCTAAATGTATTACAATCGATAAAAATGTTAGAACTTGTTTTTATGGTTGTTAGTTTAGTAGGCCTAGGTTTGAATTAAGTAAGACCACAGTCCTTGGAATGGAATGGAATGCTTGTTAATTAAAATAATGTGTGCACTTTATCACTTGGGTGGCATGATGGGTTTCTAAAAATAAGTGGTTTTAACATTGTCTTGAGCTTTTTATATTAATTAATTTCAATATTATTGTTATAGGGCCAATCAGATTTTTTAAAGATTTTTTTCAAACATATAGGTTAAGTTACATAGTTTCCCTTTTTCTTATCGTCGGTTGTTTGTTAGTGCTTTCTGTCGGGTGTATTTGTTGTTAATGTTGGCTGTAAAATAAAATAGTTAACATTTTGATACAATAATTTTAATGAATAAACCGCAAATATTACTCTTTGTAGTTAGGGTGTAAGAGTTAATTCACTTTATACCTATCTTTGTGACTGTTGTCAATGGCAAACACTAGATCTAGGTTAGGAACTGAGGGAGCCATGGCCATTGGTTAGAGACCATTAGATACTAAGCAAGGAAGGAACTTAAATAACTGTGTCTGGTTAAGTGTTTCAAAAGTTAATCGTCATTATTGAGATATGATCTTTCAAGTGTTATTTTGAATTTCATATGAGGCCTATAACTTAACGTTATCCGGTAAGTTATAAACTAGGCCTATTTAACTTAACTTGGTTACACTGTCAAGTGTATCTGACAGAGTGTTCCCTATGAAGTAGGGTAGCCTGCAATCAAAGGTAATAGGCCTAACCTACCTTGGCCTTTTCTACAGTCTAATTAATTTAAGTTAAAGGACCTAGGGTAGGCCTAAGTTAATAGATCAATTTATTCTAACCTTTAACTTGTATAAGTTAGCTTATCTGTGTCCTTAAGCCGGGTTTTCCTGGGCGCGGAGTGCGGAAAGGCGATTTAACGTCTTCCGACGTGCTTCTAGGAAAACAGTTAACTTGACATTAACTTAAATGACTGTAAGATGCCTACCTAAGACATGAGGAGGGCTGCACTTTTGTTTAGGTCCTACACTCATTCGAATGAAAATATCGATCGATATAAGTTATCGATCATTCCATTCGATATATCAAATTTGGTTAGTTAACTACGTTAGGCTAACCGAATGAAATACAGTAATCGATATAATCGAATAATTTATATCTTAGGCCTATCAATATTTTTCATTCGAATTAGTGTAGGATGTTTACTAAAGTGCAGCCAGGAGGAGTCTGTGTTTTGCAATCCGTTTCTGTGCCTAACTTAACTTAGGAAACTCCAGGTTAAGTAGGCCTAGGGTGAATTAAGTTAGGTAGACCTAACTTATCTGTCTGCAGTCAAGTTTCTATATAAAGCCTACTACATGCATGCCTTAGTTAGGTTTAAAGCATTCGTAGCTCATCTGAATCTATAAATAGTTTAAACTTATGTAACGAGTGTTCTAAAAGTCAGTTAACCTAAGAATTTCTCATTTAAGTTAGTAGTCCCTAGGCATGGGTGGAGTTCCGCTAAAACCTGCGATATTTTATCAAATTAATAATAGGCTATATCAATCATGATTCGGTTCGATGAATTTTAATAACTTAGGTCTAACCTATAGGCCGTTCCCTTCACTCACGTATCATAACTCAAGCAATAACAAGCAAAAAAGATCCAATTTTGATGATATTTGGTATAAACGTGTAAACCTAGGCTAGGCCTACATTTATTTTCACAAACCAGCATCATCTAACTATAGGAACGGGGGTTTATGGGGGTTTTATGAGGTAAAAATAGGGTTTTCTCATTTTTAACCAAACCCAAAATTTTACAATTTCTTTCCAAACCATTTTGTAGAGCTTAAAAAACAAATAATAATTTAGTATAATGAAGCGTTATTATGCATCTAATAGTTAGTGTATGGAGGAAATTCCAAAAATTGTAAATTTTAAATAGCTATAAGTAAGTATTATTCTTATGGAGAATAATTCAACTGTTGTACCGGTAGTTTGCTTGTTTTTGAGCATATTTTGATCAAAGTGCTTTGTATATGGCTCTCCTTGTTGCAGCAAACCTAAGTTCTCGTTTAACTAATTGAATTTAAATAGGTATTAGCCTAAATTTGATATTTTTAAGGAGACATTTTAGTATAAATCCAATCAAGCAAATATGCCTTAATAAGCCTACCTAGACCTAAAAAGGTAATGTATAACTTTCTTCTAGCTACTAGACCTGTGTCCTTAGTAGGCCTACTTAGGTTAAGTTGCCCATTTTCAGGGGGACAGTTTCGCAGGGAACCTAGCCTACGATACAAGAATTAGTGCGTACCTTTATTGCTGTTCCCTTCACTCACGTATCATAACTCAATAAATTTACAAATAACAATAATTACAATGGTATTGTTTGAAAGTACCGAGCAGCCAGTATAACCTCACTCTCAGGCCAGCAGAAGCTGCAGTTACTGTCGCGTCTAAACTCTAAAGTAATAGACCTTCAAATTTTCTCTCCACTCAAGTGATCGGAGAGAAAAACGTGAGCGAAGAGAATGTTTCGTGACCAAATAACTTATTTAGAGAGATTTGTTGTCATGATTACTTTCCAAAATCAAAAGTTACTCTGTAACAATTTAACCTCTGGGTTTTTTGATAAATACTAGGTTTAAAATACTCACTCACGTGATCGGAGAGAAAAACGTGAGCGAAGAGAATGTTTCGTGACCAAATAACTTATTTAGAGAGATTTGTTGTCATGATTACTTTCCAAAATCAAAAGATAATTTATTTTTGTTTTATAAAATTTACTACCCTATGTAACAATTTAACCTCTGGGTTAAAGTCACTTTGTAGTTCCCCTCTCTCACTCTGTAGTTCCCCTCGCTCACACTAATTCTCCTCGCTCACACCCAGTAAAAGCTCTGTTTATCAAAAAATATTTCTTTTTAAAACCTGTTTTCAATTTCAACGCAAGAACCAATGATCATTACACAGGTTTATTAGTTTTTTTTTATGAATTAAATAAAAAAGTAGCTTTTATTCTAAAATTTAACTTCTGTTTTGGTGTATTTGGTAAAAAATGGATTTTTTTTTGGATCAGCAACTATTACTTTTAATTAAATAACGTTTTTAAAATTTTTAATTGTTAGCTACAGTTATAAACTTTTTCT